CCGTCATGGCAGTCTCGTCCAACCTCTATTTTCCCTACTTTTGGAAATCCATATTTTTCTCGAAACTGGCGGATTCTCTCGCTTTCTTCACTATCGATTCCCAATCTATATTTTCGCTTTTCGAATAAAAACGAGTACCTGAAAATTATCGTGAACTGTGCCTTCAACACTTCGACCAGGTCTTTGCATTTTCCCCAGGTACAGTGCAAGGCAATATCTAACATAAAAAAATGATCTAAGCCTAAACGCTGGATGCTCTGCCCCGCGCAGATCCAATGCGACCCGGCATTTTTCCGGAAATGTATAGGAAATCATTGGGAATATAATCGAGGTGAAACGAGTGTGGAGTACACTAGCATTCTGATTTTTGCAAATACCAGTGCCCATCATTCTATCAGAAAAGCTTAATATTTTCCTTTGTTTCACAAGGGGAAGCAGTATGATTGAGGGCAAAATCCATACGGGCTGAGGTAGAAATCATAGACCCTAATTCCATTATCTTCTTGTGAGCTTAAAATGAAAGTGGAGGGTATCTGCCATAGGTGAATGCAAACAATTCAGAATGGAATTAAATATGTATGCCAGTGGTATGAAGAGGTTTACAGTACGGTAAGCATGTACTAGATTTAGTGCTTCTGATATAGTTATATTTTGGGTTTTCTGGTATAAAGTAATTAATTCATCGTTACAATCCGAAGCTGCAGTGAGCTGAAATAGCTGGTAGCAATACAAAAAAAAATGTACAAATGCAAATGAAAAACGATTCAGTTTGTGAGCAGTGCACTTCAGATGGATTTTATTTGAAATAAATTACATATATTGATCAACAGCTGTATATTTCGATTCGCTGATTTCAGTGAAGGGGAAGAAGAACAAACGGCAAATAAATAAAAACCCTTGTAACGAATTTTCGCGTACAATGAACAGTGCTCAAAATGAAAATCGAAATCCAACGTTGAACTCAAATTAGAAGGGAGGAAAAACAAAATATGAAGGCAGCCCTAAATGGCTCAATGCGCCAAGTAACAGGCTCTCAACATTGGGTGCCATAAAACAGTCAAGGAATTATAAAAGAAGCGTGGTGTTCCATAAAAACAAGTGTCTCTGAAGACAGATAACTGCTAAGCTATTTTTCCTTGCTATAACATTGCTTTTCCGTGAATTCACGAGAGAACGCCTTGAAAAGCATTCGTCGCTTTGTGGTGACCGTTCTTTGCAGACACATGTGGCGATAAGGCCTCGCTGTCAAAGAGTGATGAACTCTTAAGTGGGAAAAAAACGAGACTAGTAATAGCAAATGACGTCGAGTAGTGTCAATGGTCAACGTAAAATTTCCAGTGGCCCACGTGATGTGACTGTCGCAAGGTCTGTTCGAGACGAATTGATGGCGCATTTTGGGCCATTTAAACACCTTCTCCTCGAAAACGCTTCCTCTGTGGTCCAGCTTATTGTTCTGCTTATGGGGATCGACTCTAAGTGAATAGAAGGAGTTCTAGCTCCACCGATGATGCTGAACCGTGGACCAAGGCTATAGTATGTGTAACCTTATAGACAGATACTGATAAGATAAGGATCAAGTCTTTTGAGCACTGGCTTACGTAACTTCCGTTCCGACTTCCGTTCCTGTTTTACAACAATTCCTTCCTTTTTTGCCGACTCTGGTCTGGAGACTGTTCTACAACAGTAATCAGAATTTCCTACTTTGGCTCTGCCCACCTTTATTCATTCCACGTCAATTGCGAACATTCGCCTTCAAATCTCGGAAAACTTAGTTTGTAGGGGCCATGTACGACTATCCCTAACCCTCGGCATAGTGCAAACGCTGGTTTTCTCTGCTTGAACTCGGAGGAGGTTGATAAAAAACCTTTATTTCGGCTTACGCTTCGGCGTGGATCGCCTTCTTCAGAGCCGTAGATCAGTCCGATCCTCGGATCCTACTTGGAAGCCAGCACCGATGCAGTAAGCTTTTCGGACTGGATGTGATTCGTTTGTGATAAGTTTGTTGGGTTTTACCTTACCTTTACCTTTCCACTTGCACGCACTTCCTGCTGCGGTCATTTAATGTCTTGGAGTTGGGAAGTGTTCTTTGTTCTCTCCGCTTCCAGGACCTGAGATGCCCCAGGAAGGTTTTTTATTAAAAGATTGCGGGTTTCCTGCACTATGTCTAGATTTCACCTTACTAGAAATGCCTCACTCCCTCTGTGAGCAAATGACCTCCATCCCTTGCCTAGTCCCCTAGCTTCCAGCTAGCTCTCAATTCCCAGTTCCTCTGCAGGTTTGAATGCGAAGAGGCTTCACTACGTTTGCAGTGACATCCATGATAATGGTCTTTAAGGGTGTGTTGGACTCTTAGCTGAGTGCCGAACCTGTCGCAGAACTGGTAGAATGCCGTCAGGTTCAGATGTCGGGACGTGCTAAATCTTTCAAGAAGAAGACTGGGGTTAACTGTTCAACTGAGAACCTTACAAAGCACAAGGATATTTACATTCGATTAGACATGTTTCTCAGACCCCGATTCAACGATCATCACAAAGTCGCATGACGTGATCGGTCTATGCGATCTTCGAATCCTTGGCGTAAACAATGGCGTTCCTGATTTCCAGGCGTTTAGCTCGGAACACCGTATTTCTCTCTGCGTCGTCAGGAGTCATTGTCCTTTGAACGGTTCGGGAAATTGACGTTGACTGCATTCTCATTCTACTTGTGTAGAGCCCAAGTTTGAGGGGCAAATCTTGAAGAGGGAAGAAAAACAGTGACGAAGAGATGGACATAGAGCCGGGTTTTCTTTGTTTTCTTCCCTACGCCCTCGATGCTGTTAGATGCTTTCCTCTTTGCACGATTCCTTCCACCCACGCTGGACGTCGAAATCTCGACCGAAGTATGGGTAGCTCAAGTCCAATCACTTAAGTCA